GTTTAAATGGACATACTATGGATGAAAACTGCTATGATTATTTTTAAAGCATAAATTCGATTTAAACAATAGGTCTACATAATATTCACATATGCTGTTCATAGGGGACGTATTGTATTAGCCCTACAGTTACAGCATGAAATATTATATAAACCTTACTATTAACATTTCTACGTAACATTTATTTACTTTATCTCACAATTCTGACTTTTTTTTTCTCGCAAATGCAAGTTTATATCTCCTAATTCGGACTTTATAACTCGACTTAACTCAAAAATAGTGAGTTTGTCAAATCTGAGGGGAAAAAAAGCCAGAAGAGCCGAGGGGAAAAGAGAGAATGACGAGTTGTTTTTCCTTATTAGAATTGTGAGATATAATCTCGGAATTGCGAGAATAAAGTCAGAATTTTGTAATATAAAATCAAATTTACCTTTTTTAATTATTTTATTCCATGGCTCCATAGACTGCCGCTTGAAAACCGTCATTTTCTGCCTCCAGATAGGCTCCGCCCACAAAAAACATCATCCCTGTTTCGGATCTGTAAGACTATCGCACTCTCTAACGTCAATTTCGTTGAATAACAGTGCTTATCGCTGGGTGACAAGCTCTTGTAATATGCGTAGAACGTTTTGAAAATGACATCTAATCAATATAATTTATAATCTTTTTAAACCTAACTATTTTGTACCATATCCGTGAAATTCTCTAGCTGTAAAGGCTATCTCTCCCGGGTTTTCTGCAACCATGATGCGCGCGCATTCCTGAATGTTTACAAACCGGTAATTGGTCTATAGAGTCCTATACAGGAATCTAGTGGTTACACCATTAAATTACAGGTTTTTTCTTTTTTTTGCTCTCACCAGGAGGTGCTATTCTGCTTTCAAAAATTAGATTTTACAGGCCTAGTCTCTATTTTAATCTGAAATACTGCATTAATTGAAAAATAATTGTAAAAAATTAGAAAAAAATGTTTGTACTATTTATAATGGGAAAATGTATCATAATTATTGCATAAATATTAACTAGTACCATAAAATTATCTCAAAATACAAAAGAAAAAATATTATTGAACAAAAATATATTAGATTGATTTTACTGAAGAAAAAAAAAAGTTACTGTGACGGGAGGGGCGGGGCCAAGAGCCGTGGGAACGGAGCGAGGCCGGTGGAGTAATTGCTAATGCGCGACACCTGCGCCACTCACCGGTCTCGAGTCTCACGGAGGAGCTCCGGAAGGATAAAAGTAGGAGTGACAACAGTGAAAGACGAGAGAGGACCAGGCCTGGACTTTATTTTGTGTTTTGGTTCTGTTTGTGCGTGACAGTCGTCCGCGAGGGGCTGTCGCGCTATTTTGTGTTTATTTTATTATTAAAGTTTTCTTTGAATGTTCGCTGGTTCCCACCTCCTTCTTCCTGTGACTACGAACTTTGCTACATTGGTGCCGAAACCCGGGAGGAAGGCCCAAACCCGGAGGAGCCGTCGCCGTCCACCGGGCGGCGGAGGAGTGTCGGGCCGTCCACCGAGGGCTATCCAGTGCCGCCGCCAGGCATCGCGGAAGAGTTTACCCAGCTGGTGGTGGGCCGAGCGGCAGTGTGTCTGGGAACCGGACCCAGAAATTTCAGGTGTCCGGTCACTTTTGACCGCGAAGACCATGAGTGTGACTCCCAAATGAGGAGCGCACAAGGGTTAAGGCAAGTGGTTGCAATCAATGTATTTTAGCTACATTTAAATAAACAAATTTAGTTGACTAACTTTCAACATTTTTTTTTAAATGTAGCTAAAATAAATTGTTTGCAACCACTTAAAATTTTTTAGAATTTTTTTCAGTCTGTGATATACAAGCAAAACTGAAGTCATACAATATGTTCCATAAATAAATGACCATCTCCATAATATCCATGACAGCTAAAATGGGTTTATGGATTATGTTTTTAGAATCACTCAGCGATTTCTATCCGAGTTATCATTTGGTGTTTGGGCCTCCACCCTAACTCACCCTTCTCTCTATGTATGTGGTTTGGAGCAAATTCTCGATGACATCGAGGAGAACGTGCTCTGTGTTCTCCCAGAGTTGTTCCCTGTCGATTATGGCTGTCCATGTAAATAAACAAACACACTCAACCACACCGTTGAAGGAGGAGTTCAACCAAAAGTAAAAAATCTCATTTACAGTATTTACAATTTTTTTACTTAAATTATAGTCCATTTCGCACACAAGGCTGGAAGACTTTTATGATGATTTTTTGTTTTTTTGTTTTTTTTTGGAGCTTTGTAAAGAGGATATATAACTGCACACTTACTTTTAAATAAACTACTTTATTTAATTAACCAATGTTTCAGCAAGAACTCTTTGCAAAAATGTTGGTTAATTAAATAAAGTAGTTTATTTGCAAGTGAGTGTTTATATCCTCTTTACACAACTTTGATAGCTTCCGATCTGCACCTCGTACGGTGTGCATGTGCTTGTTTATTTTATGAAGAAACTTTTTTTGGAGCTTGTCACAGAATGTTTTCATTGCATTACATTTTTTCAAAACTCCTTTTGTGTTTCATGCAAGTCAGTCTTGGAATGATATGAGAGTGAGTAAATGATGACAATTTTCCCTTTTGAGTAAACTATTTTTTTAAACTTTCCTAGTTCAGGACTTTTTATGAAGATTACATTATAGCAATCCAATTTCTGGTAGGAAGGAAGAATCTTTAATGACTAATGGCTGTAATTAATCAAACTTTGTTCAGCTGGAAAAATTCAGGCTTCAATACAACCCACAAAAATGGAACGCAAGGGGGAAAAAAGTAAAGTTTACAGCTGGTACTCTTGACAGGGTGTGACATTTCTCTACAGCCCTCCATTGGAAACATAAGGGTCGGTTTAACTTGAAGCCAAAAACAAATGTCTGACACACG